GTAATTTCACGACTTTATTCTCAAAATGTTACGACTTTATTCTTGTAATTTTATGACTGTATTCTCTTAATTTTATCACTTGTTACAACTTTATTCTCGAAATAAAACAAAAAAAAAATGTAATATGTCTAATACTCCTTCGTAAAATCTTATGTTTAGTTATGGACTAAAGGATGTTGGCTCCTTTGGAACCCCATAGAATAAACTCCATTTGATTCACTGTCTTTATTGGACCTTCATTTCAGAGTCCATTGCTGCTAAAGGCCACTCCTTTCTGTCCCAGCCAATAATCAGATTACAAAGAGAGGAGGAGGAGGAGGAAGAGGAGGAGCAGGGTGTCGCCTCCCTATGTCTCCCTCCCTCCTCCCTCCAGTCGGGTCTGTTTTCTCCAGTCTAGCTTCATCCCGTTATTCGGACCGTATTCCCTCTAATAAACAGCTGCGCTGCGCACTGCTCGTATTATCGGACCACCATGGGAGTCGACGGCTGCACCAAAGTCATCAAATATGTTCTGTTTCTGCTGAATTTCTTATTCTGGGTGAGTAACCCGCTGCTGCTGCTGCCATGCAGGGCCTGCCTCTCTCTGTCTGCTTAGAAATAAAAGCTGCTTCTGGACCCCACGTCACGTCACGTCCCTCCACGTCTCCACATTCACTCGGATTATTTTAGCCCTATTTTTTTTTTTAGGTCAGTGGAGATAAAGCAGAATAGACAGGCTTTTTAAAGTCGCCTGCTGGTTAAAGCAGAAGCCAGGAGGATTTTTTATTTCTTTAATTAGTAGTGGGGGGGGCTTCAGTAAATATATTTCTGCAGAGCTGCAGTCACCAACCCACCGCTATAAGTTAAACAAACATCTCGCTGGTTGTGTTTAAAATCTGCTGCTTTTAAAGGTTTCAGGTCCTGCTGGTTCTGGAGAAAAGATTTGTTTAGATTTTATCCTCCGCCCAACATGTGTGAGAGCGCCTGCTCTGCTTTTAGTTCCTTGTGGGGACATTTTCTCAGCATTTGCCAAATGGGGACCAGATTAGTGGCCCCATGGGAGGGGGGGTTAAATCGGTAAATAGGTTATTTTTTTTCTTAAAATAAGTACTTTTGTACTTCAGTTGAGGAGGTAAGTGAGACATTTTGCCAATGGAACAAGAAAATGTACATCTAAAATAAGAAAAAACAATTATATTGCCTTATTTCAAGTGCATATTATCTAATTATTTTATTTTAAGAGTAAAAATACTCATTCCATTGGCAAATCCTCTTATTTGCCTACTTAAATTAAGGGGAAATACACTTAATTTAAGATTTTTTAAACTAATTTCTAGATTGTTTTTGCAGTGGAAAGGCTTTGTCTTATGCAGAAGGTCTCCAATAATGTTAATCAGCAGATTTTTCTGACTAAATTCCCTTTTATGAATGGAAAAATGCATTTTTGCTCTTTTGGCATTGTGCCAAAATGATATTTTCACTTGGCACACTGCCTACTGTAACCTTTGTGGAACAAACATGCCTCAACGTATTCAGTCCAGATTTGTTTCACTACACTGGGAAAAAACTGATATCTAGATAAGTCATTTTTTCTTAAAATTATAGCGTTTGTTCTCAGATTAAGGAGTCAAAAGAGACATTTTGCCAATGGAACAAGACAATGTACACTTAAAATTAGGAAAAAAAAAACAATTGGATTGTCTTATTTCAAGTGCATTTGATCTAATTATCTTATTTTAACAGTAAAAATACTAATTCCATTGGCAGATCACCTTATTTATCTACTCAAATTAAGAGTAAATACACTTAATTTAAGAAATTTTGACTTATTTCTAGATTGTTTGCGCATTGTTTAGTTTCAGTTTGAATTAGGCCATAGAGATGAATGAAAGTCAACAAAGATCCTCATAAAGATAGCAAAACACAACATGTCTGTGTGGGTGTGTGTTGGTGGGGAAAGGGGGGAGGGGGTGTTTCCACTGGGTGAGTCAAAGCCTTGTGCTCAGTAAATGAATCATGGAAACATGTGATGGAACTACATCTTCGCCGCTTTCTTGCCTTTCTGCGGTTTAACTTTCTGAGCTGCTTTTTTTCCCCCCTTTTTTTTTTTTTCAACTTCCTGAAGTTTTTACTCCAAATTGTTTTCAGTTGCCCGGTCTACAAGCGGGACACCTGATGGACAAACTGTGGTAAACACAAGGGGTTGTTGTTTATTAAGTCTGTTACAGGCAGCAGGAGGCTTTGCCATGACAACAACAGAAAAAGGTTATGATTAATGATAAATGGAGTCTAACTATTTAGACCCTGGTTTATACTCAGAAACCAGGTCGTCTGCTTGTGTGTGTCGCAGTTAATGCAGTGACGTCACTGTTCGGTAAGCCTAGCGCCATTCTCCCCGCTTTACAAGCAAAATCAATGGGAACTACTAGACACATCTGCAATCAACAACAATTATTGAAGATTTCCAGAGGACTTCACCATTGAAATTCACCAGAGCTATAGTGAAACTGACAATGCCCACGTGCATGGAATACATCTGGTAAAAGTGGAAAAAAAAACCAAACAAAAAAACGCGTAATATGTAGCCAAAATTTGGAAGAATTCAAATGAAAATTACTCTTAATTTAAAACACTTATCATTTATCGAACAGTATGTAATAAATTCATATTTAAAGTACTTTCAGATGCTCCTGGGCACATTAGATTGACATAGCGACACACAGAGGCTGAAATCTGATTGGACAAAAAATATATTTACCAAGAGAAATGCCACAAAATTAAAAGAATGGATTCTTTGGAATAAATTAATACAGTTGGATAGAAGAAAATTACATTTTAGTTTATCGGTTATTGTTTCTGATTGATTTTAGGCCAGCAGAGAAGGCCCTGACCACCCTGCTTAATGTTATATTTTTAATGCAGGATAGTGACTGTATACTGCAGGTACAGCCTTCCAAAAGACCAATAAACCTGCATTTCTAAAGAAACTTTAACGATGACAATAAAATGTCACCCATATAAAAAGCAAAACATAAAACAATAATTAAAGTGGACCTTGAATCTGATGTGCGAAAAAAAAAAAAAATCCATGACTGAAAATAGAACAAATCCCAAGACAGTTAATGTTTTTCTCAAACCTTTTTAATGTCATTCTAAATTGATTATTTTGATCCTGCTTCAATATATTTATTGGTAAAATGTAGAGATGGACCGATCCGATTACGGCTCCGATATGGACTAATTAGCTGGATCGGGTATCGATCATTTGCTATCGGAGATCCAATCCAGTACACTTTGCCTGGAACTGTTATTTCTTTCTTTTTGCTCCTTATTTTTTCATAAATAATATAAACTAGATTTATATTTGTGTTCATTTGCTGCCCTTTTTTCTTTAACAATTTTTAAATCAAGGCTAAAGAATTGACTTGCATGGGAAGATATATGCCTCTTTCAGCCAACATAATCTGTCACGCATCACTTTGACTTTTGTTCTAAAAACCTATTTAAGGTAAAACCGAGCTTCCTTATTATAAACAAGTAGCTATTTCTGTCAACAGCTGAAGCCCTGGAGCACAAAGGTGAAGAATAAGAAGATAAGATCAATAGTTTGATGATAATATTGGTTAGAAGTGATAAGCAGCGTTTTATGACTGCCAGGCTTCCTTCCATCCAGCTCACCAGTTTGTCAAGTTAACTTTAAACCCGTGGGTACAATTGATCCAATCAAGTTAATTTTACTTTACGTTGAGTTTGCTGTTTTTCTCCCATTCAGTTACAGCCTGCAGTTCCTGATGTAGACGTTAATGAGTTCTCCATGGTTAAAGTCAGATACATACACTATTGAATCATCTGCATACATCACAGCTGTTTCTTTTTTTCAAATATAAAGGGAAATAATTAAAGGAAAAGTCTGGTCACATTCAGAATACAAACTTCTGAAAGGCTTACCGCACCGTGACGTCAGCGCCGGAAGATGTCAGGAGTGAGGTGTTACTATATTTGGGCAAAAATGGCCGCTCCCAGACTCGGTCATCGCCGAAAATTATTGTTTTTATTTTTTTACTGATTAACACTAAATTCATTAAATCACAGCAAACATATTAGTTTTAGGCATAGATAATCATCCATTGAATCATCTCTTCCTTGCTGACTGGACTTTTCCTTTAAATAAAAATGAAAACAAAATGGGCCCAAAGCAGCTGCCTTGGGGAACTCCACAGGAAATGGATTTAATCATTGAGAAGCTGATATTATAAAACACATTCTGTTTCCTGTTAGATAACTGAAGCCGTAACATTTACACTTCTCCAGTGAAAGCTGATATTTTAGGTGGAGATGGGTGTTTGTTGTGGCAGCTTTTAGTTGCTACTGTTTCACAAGAAATGCCAAATACTGACTCACATGTAGGAAGTGGTTCACCGCTGTTTTTGGCTCGGTACTTCAGAGTAACCGGGCTCTTATTCTACACTTGAGATATGCGATGAGACCATGTGCCTGGAAAGAAGGGGAGGGATGGGTGGAGACCCACGTTCCAGAGGGGAAACCTTTAGTCATCCTCTCCTATTGTAGAACGACTTAAAAAAAACATGGGGAATCCTGTTTGGACGTTTTTGAGCTCAATTAAGTTTTCATTTTCATTCAGTCCAGCATCTTTATGCAAAGAGAAAATAAATCACTACGTTCACACTAGATTATTTATGAGAAAAAAAACTTTGATTTATGTGGCCGTCTTTTTCAGTAGAAGAAAAAGAAACAATCAAGCTTAGTTTGCACTTTTGTACTAATCAAGTTTTGATGACTTTTACATTATTGACCTATTATAGGCGCTAAAAAGCATTTTCCCTCAAAGGCAGATGGAAGCTACTTTCAATGTGTTTTCCGTTTTTCACCAGACAAACGGGAATGGACAGCATTACCAGCACTTGGGTCAAATTGGACTGAGTGCTGCTAATTCTATCTAGGCCCTTTACAAGGCATCATCATCATCATCATCATCAATGGAACTTCTTTGAAGGGGCAATAGAAGCTTCTGTTACTGCCCTCAACACTTCCTTCGTCTTTGACGGTCTCTAGTGCCCCTCCCTGAGGTCCCTGCTCTGTCCCATTCAAAAAATAGACATGCTGACATCAGGGATGCTGATAAATGATTTCACATCAAACTCAAAAAGCACCTAAAAAGTCCCACTAAACAAACATGAGACCAAGAAACCCAAAAAAGAGTAATAGCAAAATTAATATATGGAGGAAAAGTTGTTCCATTATTGTTGCAAACATGTTTTATAAATGTCAATTTGAGAAAAAAAAGGCAATCCAGAAATAACACTTAAAAAAAAAGCTTTTCAACGTAAGTTTATATTACATGTTATTTCCTCTTTTAAATCACATTTTTTCAGATTTTATATTTTCAAATTTTATCCGTCAAATTTCAGTTTTTTTTTTAATAGTTTTTTTACGATTTGCATTCTTTTCTGACTGCTTTTCCCAGATATGTTTCTCTTTATTTGTCAATGTGTTCATCTAGAGCGGGCTTTTGTATTTAGCCTGAAGTAAAGAGAATGC